TCTTATTTAATTATTTATCACCGCTTACTGAATAAAACATAGCACCTTCTGCAGCTGGGGCAGCCTCCACGTGACACACGTGGGATTTCCAGGCCAGCTAGCAGACCTTCCCCAGGAACCACGTGTGCTCACGGCTGGAAACTCGGCCGAGTCACCTTGAGGGGCAAGGAGGAAGAAGGTGTTAATGCACATAAACTCTGAATATCTGGGCAGTTTGTTGGGGAGGAGACCAAAAAGACATTAAATGGAAGGTTCCATAATGCAACATCATACCCTGGGGGGCACGGGAATGATCCCAGTGATGTGTATTTGCTGACAGTACTTTGTGCCAGACTTTCTTCACAGGGAAGCAACTTTTGGCCCAAAATCCATACCTACAACACTAATTTAAGATCACTTCAGATCATGTTATAGCTGGTTCTATTCCTGCTGTGCTTGTCAAACGCAAGTTTCCATGCCATCTGTTGGCACTGCTGGTACCGCTAGCTGTGAGATGCTCAATAAAGACACTGCAACATTTCAGGGAAAACTTTAGTCATTTCTCTGTTTTCAACGCCTGATCTCAAAGCTTTGCCCTGTTTTGTTCTGCACCCATCACACCACAAAGCTTCTACTTTCCGAGGTGCTAAATGTTACGCTGACGAGCGTTTTGGATTCAATTAGCAAACACGGCAAAGACTGACACTGTTTGCGCTGAAACCAAGTGCAACTTCCAGCCCCAAATTGCTTTGAAGCCCTGAATCTGTGCAAAAACAGGTATTTCCATGGCAACGGCCAGGACGCCACAAGGAGAAGAGGATGACATTTTGGCAGCAGAGAGGAGAGACTTGGGTGGGGAGGAAGGAGGCTCCTCTGCCATACAGATCTCATCTCCCTTAATGCCGAGAAGGAAGATGAAGAAAGGAGGAAAACAGCACAAAACCTGTTCTGGGTATGAAAGATCAAGCCAGGGGTTTCTGGAGTATGAGAGCACTTCTGCACACCACTGCTTTTATCTTCAAAAGGAGAGAAAATGGTCCCCAGCGATTAGTAATACTCTTTTCAGAAGAGATCGATTCAGGCAATCGAGAAATGCTGCATTAAAGCCATCTGTTTACTTTTGATATAGGAACATCTGAAAAAGGCTGACCTGGGTGCTTGAGAAGCATCAGAAGGTCCCTCTGCAAATAGCAGCTTTCATTACAAACCTGCAGCTTATCATCCTCATCTTCATATTGCCTGAACAGTTTTGACAGCTACACAAAGGCCATTTTTTTTTTTTTAAATTGGCCTCGAGAACATTTAAAGCTATCAACATTAATTTTTCAAGTCCTAATAACATTAAATTAATTTACAATTTTCTACCAATCCAGAATGAAATAGCTGGCATTGATGCTGGCAAGCTGATATTTTGGAACTACGGGCATACATACACGCTCCAGAAAAACAAACCCAAGCTGCAAAAATATTGCTCTTACCAGTCACTCTTGTTACTTAGCCACAAACGAGACAATATGGCTGCGTAGCGGGGGCACATCATTTAAAGGGTGGGAGGAAGAGAGACTGACTGTTGTCCCTATGATACTCACGATGGAATTAGTCAACAGCTACATAGTGACAACCGTTCGAGCTATTAAAAAATAAACAATATCTCCGACAGAAGACTGGGACATCAGCAAGGGAGCAGGCTGTGGTCAATCAACAACAGTTATTTTAAAAAATTCTAAGAAGAGGCAGCAAAATGTTCAATACAGGCATGGCAGTTATTGACAAGTAAAAGACTTGAAGCTACTTGCTGAGCGGCAAGCTAAATATAAACTAAGTTTCTGCAGAAGAATAAACAAGGCAACTGTTTATTTTCATATTCCATTCAGCTTTTCACACAACTAATTTTCCAGGCATAGTGTTGTACAGCCTATATTTTATGGGCAACACCTGCTTCCCCACCTATTCTTGTATGCAATGCAATTACCTGGAGGTAGTCAAAAAAATACCACAGGATTTTCCTCTATTAAAAATTAAACTTGCAAAAGAAGGGGAAGAGCATGGGTTGCAAGAAGAATATTTTTAGTTGAAAGCCCAACACCCCTTTAAACCTGGCTATTTCAGGCTCTGGGTTTTCAAAGAAGCTTCATTCCATCTGATAAAAGCTTTAAACAAATCAAAGATTTGGTTATGCTTCTTATCCTGCAAAACAGGAAACAGGATTCCTCAAAGTCATACTTCCACTCCTTCCCTTGCAGTCTGCTGACAAATAGTCAATTCTGCAGCTTTCGGTATTAGTTTGATTTATTATGACCATATGGGGGAAGAAAAAAAAAAAAAAGGAAAAAGACAGTGATAGCACAACTCATTTCAACCTGTAAATCTACTGCAGAGCAGGACTTCTTAAAAATAAAAATGCATTAACCATGGCAACAACCAAATATCAAAGTCCATTTGCTCATTGCAGCGCTTTGGGTAATTCTGATTTACTGTTTATCTATCTTCTCTAATCAAACAATCAAACCTTGTCTCCACAATATTCTTTTCTTTAGGTTGACAGATGTGGCGTGGCTTCCCGAGTATGATCCATGGCTGTCCCAGTCTCAGTGGAGTTCACCCGCACTTGAGAACCTCAGCAGATCACACAGAGGCATGGCTGAAGCGAAACCAGACATGGTCTAATGAAATGAGAATACACAGTTTCGTGACAGGTAAAAATTCCAGGAGGGGGGAAAAAAAAAAAAAAAAAAAAAAAAAAGAACAGAGATTTCTGCAGCTAGCCCTTTCTACTCCTCCTCGGAATCTGCACAAGCTCCTGACTTAACCTGAAGTCAGTCTAAGAGAGGAAGAAAAAACAAAAGCATGAGCAAGACGGGTCCAGTGAGCAGGGAACAACAGGCAAAAGAATGTCCCACCAGCTCCCAATTTCAGGGATGCTGCTAAATACTTAACTACACAACCTGTGGGATCATGCTTCCCAGGTTTTTTTAAATCCTGACAGAGCAAAGCCCAGGTGGAGAGAGTGCAGAGCGCGGGCCTGACATAGAATTCCCGCTGCAGAGAGCCCCACCTCGCTGGACCACGGCCCCTGCCAGTCCCAGTGCCTCCAGCAGGCACCGAGCTGGGAGAAACCTGAAGGAAAATGCAACCACCCTGTGCAGGTGCAGAACCCGCATTGACGTCCCGAGGCAGAGCCCTGAGCGAGGGGACCACCAGGGAAAAAAAAAAAAAAAAAAAAAAAATCTCTGGTCTGCCTCATCACTGCCCTTGCTAAAGGGCTGCTGGAGAGATACCAGAGTCAAACACCCACGTCACGGCACCGTGACGCGTTGGCTGGTGGCATTTCACCAGGGCAGAAGGGCTTTCCCCATACACCACCCCTCTCCACCAGTCTTCACCTGCACTCACCCAAGACTCGTACCGTACGTTTTACCAAAAGCCAGCGGAAGGGCATGTCAAAACCCTCAGCTCTCCACCCCTAGGCACAAGCTGCACTTTCTTCAAGCGGAGGAGGAAGAGCAAAGGGAGAGCAGCCCGGTACTGAACGCCAGCGGGGGAGATGCTCATGTGCAGCGACAGCTTGCCGAGGCCGCAGCGGGCTCCGGAAGGAAGCTCCTGTCCGCTGGCCGAGCGGTGCCACCGGCACGACGGGCGGTCCTCACCTCCCATCCTGCAGCAGCAGCCGACGCACAGCCTGCTGTTTTGTCTCTCTCCACTCAGGAGGAGTCGCAAGACAGACAGTAATAATGAGATGTCAGCTTGCTCCCCGCTGCTAAATAAATGTCATACCCTTTTTCTGGTTTAATAGCTGTTCCCAAGGCAACAAGTAGTATTCCTTACCACCACACCCGGGAGAGGATTAAAGGTGGGAAGTGGTCTGGATGAACAGCCAAAGGCACTGTGCTGTCACCTTCCCCAGACCTGCCACCCACCGCTCTTGTTCACCCTACCCCAAGCGGTGTCTCCAGCAGGGCCGTTCCCCTTTCCGGAGCCCGTAAGCTGGATAGCAAGACGCCTGTACGACCAGAAACAAAACGTCACACATCACACCCTCCAAAATCCCAGGGGAGGTGACCTGCAAGGACAGACCACAGGCAGGAGATGACCAACAGCTCCCAGCGAGCGACCCAGCGCTCCACCACAGGGCACAGCAGGTCCAGGCTCCCCGGCCGCGGGTCCCACGACGTTCAGCCACTTGAGACTCGGCGCTCCACGCCAGCCCACGCAACCCACCTCCACGCACAAACTACGTGGCAGAGCCCTGGGACTCTCAGCCGCCTCTCTAGATCCACCGTCTGCTCACCGCGTGAACGCCACACGCATTCCAAACGCTAAGCTCTGCACAGAGCGGAGGCAGCTCAGTAGAAAGCACATACAAACTAACAGAGAGTTAAAGACGCCCGAGAAGAGAGACCAGAGCAAGAAGATGTAAAACGCCATCGCTTTGCCCTGGACCCACATGTGCACGTTCCCCGTTTTCTCAGCCGGCTGCCTCCCTCCCTGCCAAAGAGCACTTTGCTGCAACGAGGGGCTCGCCCCATCCCAGCTCCCGAAGTAAGCAACACCGGGGAGTACCCCCTCTCTTCCTTTCCCCCCCTCCCCCCCATGCTGAAAAAGCCACAACTTGTGAGAGCGGTTCTGCCGCCAGCGAACGGCAATTTTCCACAGATCCAGGACATCGGGGGTGCCAAAATTCACCGGTGCTGCAGAGGGATGCTCCCCCGCCTACCCGGGCACCGGGCTGGGCTCACGCTGCGACCCGGAGCCTTGCTCAGATCTTTGCGGGGGGCGGGGAGGGTAGTTTTTTTGGAAGGTGAAGGCGGGGGGGGGGGGGGGGGGGACGCGAATGTTTAATTCGCTGCAGCAGCACCGTCGCGATCCAGCGGGACGCTGCGGACAGGGCGAGCCCGGGGCTCCCCGCCGCTCGACGCCCATCACCGCGGAGCCGGGGCTCCCCGAACCGTGACCGGGGGGACGGGGACCCGGGGAGGGGTGGGGGGGTGTGGGGTGTGCTGCTCCCGCGCTCCCGCACCCACCTCCTTCTTGACGGTGCGCAGCAGCCGCTGCCGGGTCTCCGCCTCTGTGTGGGGAAGAAAAAGGGGGGGGGGGGAGAGGCCCGTTAGCGCGGCCCCAGCCCCCCCACCCGCCCTCCCCTCCGCTCCCCTCCGCTCCCCACCCGCCGGGGCCGCCGCCATGGCCGCGCTCCCCCGCTCCGCAGCGCCGGCAGAGTGACGGCGGGGGCCGCTCCGCCGAGGGCCGGGCCGGGCCGGGCCGGGGAGGAGCCGGAGCCGCCGCCGCCAATCCCCGATCGCCGCCGGGCTACCGGCAACCCCGGCAACGGGCGGCCCACGGGGGGCGAGCGCCGCCGGGCCGCGGCCCTTAAGGCGGGGGGGGACACACCGCACACGCTCCCCCCCCCCCCCCCCCCCCCGCCCCTTCCCACAACCCCGGCCCTCAGAGGCGGCCACCCCACAGCCTCCCCCCCCCCCCCCAAAAAAAAAAAAAAAAAAAGGCACCCCAACGCAGCGCCAGCAACCCCCCCCCCCCCACCTCCCCCCCAGATCTGCTGCTCCTGGGTGGGTGACACGGGGCGCGGGGTGCAGCCCGGCTTTGGGGGTGTCCTCAGCATCGTGCGGGAGCTGGGGGGAGATGCGCCCAGGTGCGAAGCGACAACGTCGCCGCAGCCCCGTGCCATCATCCCGGGGGATTCTTCCACCCCGGGAAGGCGACGAGAAGCCGAGACCCTATTCACGGGAGGCCCGAGATGCTTCCCACCAAAACCACAGCGCCGTCAGAGAAAGCCCTGCCTAGCAGCTCCCATTAACGTGTCTTCTGTTTTCCTCTTCCCTCGCTCGCCGTTCCAGGACATTTCCATAGAAACAGGATCCCGGCTCCTTCGCAGTCCAGTTTCCAATAACTACAAACTGCATTACGGGCGAGAGCAGCGGCGCCGGGCCACGCTGCACGCCAGCGCGGCCCCGGCTCGCCCACGCTGCGGAAGGGACTCGGTCCCTGCTCTCCGTGCCGGGAAGTTTCCATCCTGTTAAAAATTCCCAGCCCCGCAGCCCCGGGCACTGCTGCTCCGCTCACCCCGGGGAGCTGGGCTGCGTCGGAGCGGCTGCCTTTCACCCTAAAGACAGCAGGAACCATCCATCCCCTCTGCCACCCGGGATGGCCATTCGCCTGCCAGAAGAGCAGGAAAAAGCTCTGGACTCAGGATTAATCAGAATTTAGCCCCTTCTGTACTTTACCACCGGCACAGGGGCCCGGAGAATCCCCGTGCCATATCCATTGTAAAGAAAACCGATTTCCTTGTCTGCTATTTGCTTTTCACTGTTTATCTGCTTGCTAAATGCCCTGTTAACGGGGGCGGTAGCGGTGCAAATGTTACTGAGTCGCAGCAACAGGGCCGGGCTTGCTTGGCTGTAGGTGATTGCTGAGCCGGATGGATCCCAGACAGATCCTGGGATCTGTGGGAGTCTACCCTGGGCAGCTCTGGGTGCTGCTGGCGGGGGTCACAACTTCCCGTCTGCAGTCGCTGAGCGTTGACAGACCGTCAGAATTCCGAGCTCAGGTTGCCCCCCCCCCCCCCCCCCCACGAATGACACAGGACTCGGTGTGCCACGCTTGGTTTGTCCAAACAGCCGTGGCTCTGCTCCCCGCGACCACCGGTGACGGGCCCCCCGAGGCAGCAAGCCCCGTTGCCCAGTCTCACCGTTGCATCTCTTCTGCCCAGCAGCCTGCGCCGGGGCTCTGTCCCAGTTTTGAGGATGGGGTCCCCCTCCTTCGAAAGGGGTGCGGGAGGAGAAGGACCAAGCCAAGAGGCAGGAGACTCGGGCTGTGCTCACAGTCAGCCCGCACAGCTCGTACCAAGCTCTGCTGCTCTGCAACCCCGCCTGTCGTTTATTAATGACCGCGGGTCCCACGGTCTTGAACGGGTAATTAAGACAGGCTAATAAACAATCATAATGAAGGCATCACGGCCTCATAAAACACCATGTTGGAGCGCCATCGAGTATCAAGAGTGAATCGAATCACCAAGGGCAGAGAGCCCTCTCGCTCCCTGACCCCCAGCTGTGGCTGGGATGGGGTAGAGCCGTGCCTCTGCATGCCTGTGGATGCTGAACTGGGAAAAGTGCCACGTTCCCGAGGAGCCAGGGCACAGCACGGACATGTCACGCACGGCACCTTGCACATCTCTGGTGTCTGTGAAGCTTCTGACTTAAACCGACAGCATCTGCCAGCCAGGAGAGCCTGGGCTGCCTGGCAAAGCTTTGAACTCGGCCTCGGACAGGCAGGCGAGTTTCTCCTGCTTGTTTCTCACTTTTGCTATTGTGAAAATGATGTTGGAGACGTTGACCTGCCTCTTGACTGGCAGGGGACACCGGGAAGTGTTCAGTTTAGCAACTCAGTCAGGAAAACTACTCTGTCCAAGCTGAGCCAAAACAACTCTTTCAGGATTTTTCCCATCAAACAAGCCCCACTTCTTTTAAGAGCCAAGATGAGCTCGTGGATGCGGCCGAGGGGCGATGCTGAGGGAGCCCACAGCCCCCCGGTGAGCCTGACTCTAACGCACAGCACCGGCAGAGCGAAGCCCGGGGGAGCACGATGATCATTTCGATCCCCGTTAATGAACCGTGCTGGTTTTGTGCAATCTTCACTCCTGTCAATCTCTGCAATCCTCCAGGCTAACTGGCACGGGGCGGGCAGCGTCCACACGCCGAACGAGCCCCAGGAGGTTCATGCGGTCGGTGGTGCCGGCACTTCTGTGGGACCGTGTACCCAGTGAGGCTTAGTCCATTTGAGAGGGATTACGAGGGGTTTGCCTGGCTCCTTTCTCCCCAGGAGCAACGGTGCTATACAGGGGGTGGGAGCTGTTACTCATTTATTACCTTCCTTTGGGGAGAAATCAGCTGAAAAAAAGCACAGGGACAAGTTCTCTATAAGCCTTGCTGGTTCCTTGGAAAATTCTGCTTCTCCCTGGATTCAAGATGAGCAGGAGAGAATTGGCCCCTGTTTTCTGAAGTCTGAAGAGCTTAAATGAGAGCACATTGATCTATACTTAATGTGATTAAGTTACATCTCTGAGTATCATGCTAATTAAATTAAACTTCCCACTGCTGCCTCTGCGGCTTAAACAGGATAGTTGTTTTAAGACCACAATTCACTCCTCTGCATTTCATTGCATGGATATGCAGGTAGGATAAAAGCAATCTGCTAATCAAATAATCGTATGGTTTAGAGACAACTTCTAACTCAATGGAAATTCAAATTTAAATCTGATTTGAGCTAGATTTAAACTCCGCATTTTAAATCTGAAGTGGTTTGGAAAACTGTGAGCAGAATAAACAAAACCCTGGGGAAAATTTGTCCCTGGCGGGTCACAGAGCTGGGATCCCACTGGGAGCTGGGTGCTCGCAGGGCCCCAAAACACCAGGGCTGAGTCTGGGGAGCACAACTCCTTGCAGTGAAATACATTTCCCAAAGACACCTCTCCTTCCGCCCTCCTCCCGCCTCCAGCAGCCCTGAGAGCCTACAGTGGGTTTTCCAGCTTGCAGTTTCTAAAATTAAAAAAAAAAAAAAAAATTAAAAAAAAAATAATTGAGATTTCAAAGCTGTGTCCTCATTGACTTGACAGAGGCAGCCCTGACCCAGCGCCGGAGAAGAGGCCGCTGCGCTGGCCGGTGGGAGCGGAGGGGCGGCGGGCAGCGGCACGGGTGGGCGAGGGCACCCGAGGAGAAGGTGGGAGCTGGGGGAGCGGGATGGGAGCGAGGACCCCGGGGGGGATCTGTTGGGGATGGAGGCTGCTGGAACGGCTCCTGGGAGCGACTCTGAGCCCGGCTGCTGCGGCTGCCTCAGCAGGGAGCAGGGCCGGGGTGCAGGACGGTCTCCACACTCGGCACACCGAGCCGTTGCACGTAAACCACTCGGAGAAGAGAAGGGTCAGCTGCAGAGAAAGAGCTATTATTTTTTTTACAGTTGCTATGGCACCAGCTGTCTCTGTTCTGTCATTTATGCCCTTCAAATGGTCCTCGGCCGGGGGGATTAAACCTTGCTCCCCCCTCAGACAGATCACAGCGGCGAAGGGGATTTCTCACCTTCATCCCTAAACGAGGGACAACCGCAGCCCCTCGGCCAGCCCCCGCAGTTGGGTACAGCCCTGTCTTTAATTTCCCACACCCGCTTTGTAAGGACCGCAACTGAAACTCATGGCTTTGCAAGGTCCCAGGAGTGACACAAATCCCGTATCAGCCCACAGGAGATTAATTGTCCCTCACTCGTGTGCCGGGCCTTGGCTCGGAGGAGAGCCGCACCGGCAAAGCCTGGCGGGGCCAGGGGCAGGTGGGTTTGCAGAGGGGGGGCTCTGCCCGGCTGCTTTGGGACCCCCCCCAACCTCCACTCGCGCCCCACCCAGTGCAGGGACCAGCGCGTGGGATCACCCTGACACCCTCCAACCTAACCCCTTCGCTCGGAGCAAAGCATGTGTAGAAAGCTGTTGCCAGTCACCCCCTGAGCAGAAAATGGATGCGTTTTCAAACGAGAGGTGTTAAAAGGGACGATAATTTCCTGTTCCACAAGCAGAGAGGGAGAAGCCGTGGCGAAAACAGCCCACCCTGCACGGGGACTGACAGCAGGAGGGTGGCAGGAGTGGAGCCACCACCCATCACTGCCCACTGGGAGGGGGCAGCTCGGGGCTGGGCACCCCAGTTTGGCCACCCATTCCCAGGGCTCTGGAGCTCACGCTGTGCAGGCGAGGAGCCGGCGGGGTGATGTCCCCTGCAGTGTCCCTGTCCCCTGCAGTGTCCCTGTCCCGGGGTGGCTGTGCCACCGCAGCTGGACTAAACCCACCGAGGCACAGCCTGTCCTGCCCGCCTCGCCGCAGCCACCCAAAGCATCAGCCCCCCTGAGCTGCTCTGGTCCCACAGCCCCAGCAGCCAGGGCCAGGCACACTATACAAAAAAAAAAAAAAAAAAAATATGTTTTTAACTGGATATTTCTAACAAGTCTCCATGCGTGTGCCTGAAGGATTAACAGTGTCCAGAGGTTTCCCATGCTGGGCAGACACCAGGCAGCTGCATCACGTCGTCACAGCAACCCACTACCCCTGGCCCTATGAACCGCAGTTCCCGGTTTGATCTCTTCTGTAGTTTCTTTTAATTACAGATGAGGGTGTCTGCAAAACCCGGGGCTGGAGCACCCTGGAGCCCTGGGAGCAGCTGGTGGCCCCTGGGCAAGGGCTGGCTCGGCACCGGCCCCGGTGCCACAGCTGGAAACAAGACACAGGGACCTGCCCGGGCTGTAAGCCCGCAATGAAATTTGCTGTTAAACTGTCAAACAAGCGAGCAGTGGCTTTTGCTACACTGCCCTGATCGCATCTGAGCTGCGAAAGCAATTTCCCTTTCCAGTGGCTCGTTTGCAACAAACTCATCCCCACTCTGTGCCACAGAAAAGGACCCAGCGAGTCCCCGAGGAGAGCTGGGTGCGAGCGGTGCCGGCTCCCGGCAGCCCGCAGAGATGCTCCAAGCTCATGAGGCTCCGGCAGGCTCACGGCCAGCGCTGGTAGAGTTTGTGCCCTACACTTCCCTCCCGGCCATTTCCAGGCCCCGCTCGCCCCACAGAGCTTCCCCTGCAAGAACGAGCGGTCGTCTGCCCTCGGTGGGTCTGGCATCATCATCGGCAGAGCGGCAATTGCAGAATGCACCAAGGAGAAAGAGATCCCTATTTCTCAGGAGGAAGGAGCACCACTTCTCTGTGCAAATAGGGTTCTGTGTCACCAACCCCGACCCCAAAGAGCACCCACCCGGGAGTAGAGGGGACAGAAAAGCGTGCGGTGAGGCTGGTCCCCACGCCTCAGCCCTCTGCTCGGAAAACTGCTCTCCCCCCTCCTGCCTTTGATCAGAGGATGGGTTTCTCCACCGGCTGCTCTCCGTGCCGTGGGTTTCCAGCGGGAGGTGGGGAAGCGCAGTCAGCCTGACCCTCCCCTCCTCAGATCTGTCAGCAGCGGCAGAAAAATCCTGCCCGTCCCCAAGTTACTCAGCCTGAATCCGGCAGGATTTGCCAGGGCGACAGGATGGCAGAGCAGCCCTGCTTGGCACCCACTTCCAGCCCCCGCCGGCACGGTACGGCCCCCCACCCTGGTCCCACGGCTGGTCCCACACCCCCGGGGCCCCAAAGCCACCCCAGGGACAAGTGGAGCAAAAAAATGGATTTCCTCCTCTCGGTCATCGGATTCGCTGTCGATCTGGGCAACGTCTGGCGGTTCCCCTACATCTGCTACCAAAACGGAGGGGGTAAGGACACCACTAGGATTATTTAAGTCTCCTTTTGGAGAAAAGAAATCTGTTTTTCATCTTTCCAATGCTGAGAAACCCGCTGTTTCTTTTCTTTCTTTGTCTCTATCTGCTCCTCTCTGGATAGGGTGGTTTAGAGACCGACCCAACTTCTCCTGACATTTGTCTCTTTTGTGTCTTTCTTGATTCAAAATCCTCCTCCATTCACTCCTTCCCCGGTGTGGTTAGAGGTGTGTTAGAGCTCTGGGATCACAAAGAGAAAACTAGCATGGTCCAAACTTCATAAAGAGATTAAGAATCTACAAATTTGGAGTGGGAGGTTCATACCCTTTATGATCTTGTGACGGTGAAAGCAACCCTTTCTGATGGCTTGTGTTTTAAAATAATCCTTGCAAGCATCCCAGCCGCTGCGCCGCGCAGGGCTTGAGGTGTTCAGTCCTGCGAGTGATCAACAGAAAGTTAAGATACAAAAGCTCCATGAAGGAAAAAACCTTGAGTAAATGACAACTAAACAAATTGCTTTAAATAAGAGCGGAGTAGAAAAACCCCTTGCGTGGGAATTAAAAATGAGGAACGAAGATTTTGTGCTGTTCGCAAAAGCACAGTGGATTTAATTGCCAAAGTCGGCATTCGGGTAACGTCCTCTGCTGCTTTGGAAAATTAGAAGGAGATAATTAGTACCGTACTCAGGGCTAAAATGCGGATCCCAGGTGCCCAGACAGGAGCACAGTTATTTGTGATTTACTCCAGTGGGACTCGGAGCAAACTTTAGCCACTCTTCACTGCTGTGGCTCAGGCAGGTGCTGCTTTCCTCGCCCCGCCACGCAGACGGGAGGGTGAGGAGTTCAAAAAGCGGCTCCTGGGAAGGACAAGCAGGGCCCACGCAGAGCCGGAGCGCGGCTGCGGGCCGGCGGTGGGCTCACCCGTCAGCGGGAGACGTTCTGAGAAGAGAAACCCTTGAGGGCTGTTAAAGAGGAGCAGGGCACCTCTGGGCCAGCAGCACCCCCAGGCAAACGGGGGGGGCTGGGGGTGCTGCACCATACGTGGAGGGCTCTCGGAGAGAGGAGCCGTGGGGGTTAAATTAACTAGTCCCAGCAGAGCTCTTCTGACGAGCGCAGAGAGCAGCTCCAGTTCCAAAACCTCCATGGGGTACAAGTGTAGCCCTGGTGAAGATGACATCGTTATGAATAATGCAGATTACAGCGTTAATTATTTGTGTCTTGGGGTGACTGTGCATACTCAGTGGGATTTTCTCCAAAACTTATCTAGACCTGAGAGGTGCTTGGTGCCCCATCCCCTGCACAAGACATATATTACATGCATACAGACATACGTTGACAGTACGATAGGTGGTTTCTGTTGGACCATCCCACCAAACGATCCGTCCCCGGCGAAGGCTGGGATGCCTTCACCCACAGCAGCCCGGGAACCCGGGGCACCGAGCGTGGCCCTCACACCTCCAAACAGATCATTTGCAAAGCATCTTTACAAACCCGCGTCCAAACGCAGCATCCCCGCCGCTGGGTGACACGTCCCTGCGGCGCCAGGCGGTTCGGGGGTGGCAGCCCCCACCCCCCCACCCCCCCCCACCTGCCCACCCTCGGTGGGTCACCCCCCACTCTGCCCCTCGCCCCGCAGGAGCCTTCCTCATCCCGTACGCGCTGATGGCTCTGTTCGGAGGGGTGCCCCTCTTCTACATGGAGCTGGCCCTGGGGCAGTTCCACAGGACGGGCGCCATCCCCATCTGGAAGCGCATCTGCCCCATCTTTAAAGGTGAGAGACCCCCAGCCCCGGGCCACCGCCGCGCGCTCGGGGCTCAGGGGACAGGGCTGGCTCAGCGGGGGCTGCTGCCTCTGCCCCCCCCTTCTTTCCCCAGGCATCGGCTTTGCCATCTGCATCATTGGCCTGTACGTCTCCTTCTACTACAACACCATCATCGCCTGGGCTCTCTACTACTTCTACTCATCCTTTTCGGGCACCCTGCCCTGGGCGAGCTGCGACAACCCCTGGAACACGCCCGACTGCACCAACTACTTCGGGAGGAGCAACGTGACCTGGACCAACTTCTCCAGGTCCCCCGCTGAAGAGTTTTATACGTAAGTGAGCGTGCGTGGGTGACGCGTTTAAGCTGGGGCGCGACCCCCGCGGGGAGCAGGACCGGGGTGCCCGGGAGCAGGATCTCGCGTGGGGATGCTCTTGGGGAGCTGGTGCTCCCTGTTCTCGGCGAGCTGGGGGAGAGGCCAGCATGGGTCTGCCTGGCCAGGGCTGAGCCTGAGACACCCTCCCCGCCCGCAGGAGGAAGGTCCTGGAGATCCAGAAATCCAGGGGTCTGTACGATGTAGGGGGGATCCACTGGCAGCTGCTCCTCTGCCTCTTCCTCATCTTCACCATCGTCTACTTCAGCCTGTGGAAAGGAGTGAAAACCTCTGGGAAGGTAAGAAAGAGATTTCCAGCATCAGCCCTGCCCGGGTACGGATGTGCCGGAGCCCTGGGCACGTGGGGGCTTGCAGCCTGGCATGCAGCATCCCCTCTGTGGCCAGGGGGCCGAGCCCTGGTGAGGTCTTGCACCTCACCACATGCTTAAACATGGGGTGTTGCCTCCTCCCCGCACCCCTACGCCCGACACGGGTGGGTCGGGTGCTCAGTGGAGCAGCTCTGCCGGTGCCAGAGGGGCTGAGGGTTGCTTCTCTCCAGGTGGTGTGGGTGACGGCCACGCTGCCCTACGTCGTCCTGCTTGTGCTGCTGGTCCGGGGGGTCACCCTGCCCGGCGCCTGGAGGGGGGTGGTCTTCTACCTGTGCCCAGACTGGGGCAAGCTCCTGAGCACCGCGGTGAGTGTGCAGCGGGATGTGCCGACCCGGCTGCCCCCTGCCCCGGGGGTGGCAGCACCCAGACCCCCTCCCCAGGACACACACCCACCCCTGCCTGAGGGTCTGGCCCCCGCTGGTCAACGGGGGCCCTTGTTCCTACAGAAACAAGACGCCCTGGACAGGCTCTTGGAAATGTAAATCTATAATTAAATCACCCATCTCATTGCCGCTGGGTTTTGTTTGTGCCGTGTTCTCGCCCTGGCCTGACAATAGGCTTCCTGTGGGTAATTACCAGGCAGAATTCTCATTAGAGGTAATCAGGGCCTCACTGCTGGCACTGAACCTGCCCAGGCAGGAGTGGGCATGGGGGGTCTCAGGGCTCCCCTCGACTTTGTCCCCGCTCCGGGCACAGGGGAGCACAGATGCTGTTGCTTAATTCTGCTGCTGCGGGTCCCCAGGGCGGAAACGAGCTCCCTCTGTCCTCCGGCAGCTCCCGGGATGTCTCCCGGGGGGCTGGGGCAGGCAAATGAGGAGATTTGGCAGCATGTGTCAACACAGACCCCATCCCTGGGCCATGGGGTGGGCATGCCATGGGGCACCTCCCTGTCCCAGCCCCCGGGGACCCCCTGCCCTGCCCATCCTCCAGCCTGCCTGTTGCTTCCCCCGCCAGGTTTGGGTTGATGCTGCAGCACAGATTTTCTTCTCCTTGGGCCCCGGATTCGGCGTCCTCCTTGCTCTGGCCAGTTACAACCATTTCCACAACAACTGCTACCGGTGAGCTCCCGCAGCCGGGAGGGTCCCTGGGGACACGGGGGCTGCGCCGGGCACGGGCTGCATCCCGACGGCTCCTGCGCCTGTGGGCTGAGCATCCTTCCCCCTTTCACTGATGGTTTCGGTGTGTGGAGCCAGGGGAGGGAACTGGTGGGAGTCCAAGCAACCAGTGCAGCCGAGCCGGGGTGAGCGCTGAACTGGAGAGGGGGGGTTCTACCGCAGGACACATCTCCCTGCTTTCTGCTTTCCAGGGACGCGCTCGTCACCAGCGCGGTGAACTGCCTCACCAGCTTCCTCTCGGGCTTCGTCATCTTCACCGTGCTGGGCTACATGGCCGAGATGAGGGACGTGGAGGTGGAGGATGTCGCGAGAGATAAAGGTTTGCCCCTCACACCCCCGGCAGAGCAACTGCCCCGTCCTGGCCCTGCCGTGCCCAGCTCTCTGTGCCCACCATGGCTGGGGGGGGGGGCCGGGGTGATGGCCAGGGTGCGGGGGCTTGTGCCCAGGAGCGGAGGGCAACGAGGTGTCTGATCCCTGTATCTCAGCCGGGGCCGGGCACGGCCACTCTGGCTTTGGGGCATCTTCCCCACACACGTTCCCACTGGCACCGGCACCCCGGGCTGTGCCAGAGACGCCAGGGCACGGCAAACCAGACCAGTGTCCCCTCCTAGGGCCGAGCCTCCTTTTTATCACCTACCCCGAAGCGATCGCCAACATGGTGGGATCCACCTTCTTCGCCATCCTGTTCTTCCTGATGATGATAACGCTGGGGCTGGACAGCACGGTAGGGAACTCCATCGAGCGCAACAGACTGGGGGTGGCTGTGTCCCCCCCGGGGGGAGCGGGGTGACAAGGGCAGCTGCAGCCTGGGGAAGGAGGGGGGCTGGCCCGAGCCCTCCGAGCACGGGGATGGAAGGAGCTTTGTGCCATCACATCACCTCCAGTGGGTCTGAGCTGCCCTCCCCCCAAACACCATCAGAGGGGACGGTCACCGCGGCGGGAGGGGACAGGATGGGATACCCCCACTCTGCTTGTGGGCAGAGGGGGCTTAAGGGGGAGCAGGTTTTCTCCGAGAAAGTGCCACGACTCATTTCTCTGCCTCACGCCGGCGTTTCCTTTGCAGTTTGGGGGCTTGGAGGCCGTGATCACGGCCGTGATGGACGAGTACCCCCAGGTCCTGGCCGGGCGACGGGAGCTCTTCGTCCTCGGCCTCATCACAGTCTGTTTCCTGGGCTCCCTGAGCACCCTCACCTACGTGAGTACCACCGGGCACCGCTCTGCTCCCGTCCCCCCCCATACACCTACTCGTTTCTCCAACTCCTGGTGCAGGATTTTGCCCAAGACCTGCCCTGCATCCCCGCGGGGTCCGCAGCCGCCCTCCCCTCCCTTGTGCTGTTCCAGGGGGGGGCCTACGTGGTGAAGCTGCTGGAGGAGTTCGGTGCTGGCTGCTCCATCCTGGCAGTGGTGCTCCTGGAGACGATAGCTGTCTCCTGGTTTTACGGTAAGGACCAGCCTCTGTTATGAAAAAACATCCTGCAGGCCCCTACACGGGTGCTCAGCCTCATGCACGTGTGTAAATGCCAGGGGTTTGGGGGAAGATGCTCGTGCGTGACTGGGATGGGGCACGGAGGGAGTCGTGTCCGTGTCCCTGTACCCACATCCTCCGTGGGTCTCTGGGGCTGTGACGGCTCTCTCCTCCGGCAGGGATACAGAGGTTCTCCCATGACCTGAAAGCCATGCTGGGCTTCCCCCCAGGGCTGTTCTGGAAGGTGTGCTGGGTCGCCATCAGCCCTGCCTTGTTAGCGGTGAGTCTAGACCCAAATTAAAGACCGGGTCACCAGTCCTTCTCAGGAGCTGCTCTTCCCTCCCCGGGTGCCGCTGCTGCCCAGCGCTGCCGATTCCGCCCCCCTCGCTTCTGTGGGGTGAACAAGGTGGGCCAGGGGCCCGGCCGGGGCTGTAGGATCTCACGCCAGCCCTCCTCGCCAGCTCCCCGCGCTGCTGCTCCAGCCACGGGCAACAACCACCTGCCCACAGCCCCCAGGCCAGCGGGTTTCACCAAAAAAGGGAGCTGGAAGTACATTTTCCAGCCTCTTCTGCAACCCCAGGGCAAGAGCTGGGTGCTGACACGGGTGCAAGCGCAGGCTGGTTTCATCCTCCTGGTCTGTGGCACGGCCAGCCACGGTGCCCAGCACGTCTCTGACAGCGCTGTGCACCAGGCTGGATCCGTCCCCTTTGAAATGCCAGCTCCCCCAGCACTTCAAAGGCTGCTGTCTGCGAGAGGCAGAGGGGTCTAATCTCACCAGATCTGCAGAAGAGGCCTTGTGAGGATTAATTACGGCTCTAAGCGCTTCGCGCAGGTTATTAAGAGAGAAGGATTATAATCAAAGCAGACAGCAAATGATTCCATTTCAGCACGGGGACGTGCAGCCGTCGCCGGCCACCGTCTCGGTGGGGTGTGTTAGATGAAGACCTCTCAGCCCACACCTGGGGAGGGGTGGCAGCCTGGGAAATGTCACCACGACGTCCACGCTGGCCTCTCGCAGTTAGGAGAGCAGCAGTGGCAGCGGGACGTGGACCGTGTCGACCCCCAGGGCTGAGCCTTGCAGGGGCTGGGGAGATGCTGCAGCTGATCTGCTCTCTGTGGGGAGCCGGAGATGCCCGGCCGCCCTGAATAGAGCTTTTCTAGCCACCCATGTTTTGTGGCTGTGGGTTTTGAGGGCTGTACAGCCCTGCTACAGCCCGGTGCTGCTTGTGACAGGCAGTGGGGCACATCCTGCCATGGCCTGGCCCATGAGCATCCTTCCCTAACGACCTGTGCTTCGTTTGGTACAGTTCATAGTCATCAGCTCCCTCCTGGACCAGCCGCCCCTGACGCTCTTCGACTACCAGTACCCCGAGTGGAGCATCACTGCGGGGTATCTCATCGGAGCATCATCCTTCATCTGCATCCCCTTCTACATGGTGTACAAGCTTGTCTGGACGCCCGGGTCCCTCAAGCAGGTGAGGAGTGGGGTGGGAGATCCAGCAGCTGGGGGTGGGCAGGGACCCCCACTCAGGCTGACACCTCCTCAGCATCTTTGTACACGTGGCCATGAAATCCTGCCTGGCTTGCTGCTTGGAAAAGGGCTCAGAGGTGCGTGGCTCAACCCCCTGATAATTTTAAAATCGTACTTCTGAAGCTGTGATTTTGGCCGGGTGGGGAGGCAGCGGGGCTATATCAGCACGGCCTTGGGGGCAGGAGACTGTCCCCTGCTGTCACCCCTCCTCTCAGCCCGTTTTTGGGACACCTCCTGCCCGCTGCGCTCCCCGCCCTGCAATGAGCAGGATCCTGGTGGGGACGGCTCCGGCGCATCGGGGCAGGCAGCCCTGCTCGTGGCAGCGGGGAAACCCATCGCCTTCATTTTACCTCTGTCTATTTGCACCCTCCAGCGCCTCGCCGTCTGCATCCGGCCAGAGAAAACAACACGAGACCCCCAAGCAGAGGCGGTGTGCATGGCACCGGCCCTGTAGCCCTGCGGCACATCCAGGGGATGCTTCCTGCTCCTCTCCCCGACAGAGCAACCGGGCAGGGAGAGGAGGAGCCGCCGTCACCTTCCTCACAGCGAACGGCCCCTCTTGTCCCCCCCGGCGGCTGCACATCTTGGCAGAAGCGGCACAGCCAGCACGTCCTGGCAGAGCGGAGCCCGTTCTCACCGCGCGGCAGGAAAACCTCTGATCCGGAGCAGGGAGAACGGGACCCGCTGCTGAGTCCCGTGGGCTGGAAACGAAAGGGCCAAACTCCTCCGTTTTGGAGGGGACCCCCCCCCCCACTCCCGGCGAAGGCGGAGGCGCAGCGGTGAGTGCTGCTGCCGGGGGGGGGTTGCTGGCCGACGGTCCAAGGAGTGAACGCGCCTTGCTCAGAGATGTTTGCGACCTCGCTGTGCAAAGCCGTGCATGCCTTTAGCCATGCCGTGAGTGACGTGGAAAATAAAGCCAGTATCAATCATTAGGAGAAAAAAAGGGAGAGGGGCCCAGAGCAGCGGGGCGGGGGGGCTGCCACTGTCCTCACGCACAAATACCTCGCTCTGTTGCAAAGAGCAAAAGTCCCGCAGAAAAAGTGTGGGGCCTCTTGGGTTGCTCCCGGGCGGGTCGGCCCCTCCTGCCCCCCTCCATCCCAGCTCTGCCCCCCCAGCGCCGCAGCAGCTCTGCTCAGCCGGGAGGATCGGCTGCGAGAGACGTGGCGGCCTCCGGCATGTGGAGAAGAAAAGGCCTTCATATATCTGATTTTAAAAAAACAAACGCTGGGGTCGGGGAGAAGCAGCCCTGGCGCTGGTGTGGACCAGCCACCTGCGGGCTGCAGCGGCTTCCTGGGAATGTCGCATCGGTGCCACCGCCGCCCGCCCGCCGGGCTTGGGCCACCGAACCTTCCAGCACCGGGACCCCTCACCGTCCCCTCAGGGCGCTGCAGAGCAGAAGAGGGGAGAGCAGCCAGGAGCTGGGGGGGCAAAGGGCTTGGGGGGGGTGGGTACATGGGGCTGGGGGGACACGTGGGGGCACACGGGGCTGGGGGACACAAAGGGCGGGGGGGTACATGGGAGCTGGGGGGAAGCACACAGGGTTGGGGGGGGACACATGGGGATGTGGGGGGGACATGGGAGCTGGGGGGGGCACATGGGGCGGGGAGGAAGCACACGGGGCTGGGGGAGCACATGGAGCTGGGGGGACACATGGAGTTGGGGAGGGACATGGGAGCTGGGGGGGCACATGGGGCTGGGGGGCACGAAGGGCTGGAGGGGCACATGGAGCGGGGGGAAGGACACAGGGTTGGGGGGACACATGAGGCTGTGGGGGGGACATGGGGGCGGGGTGGAAGCACACGGGGCTGGGGGACACATGGAGCTGGGGAGGGACATGGGAGCTGGGGGGGCACATGGGGCTGGGGGGCACGAAGGGCTGGAGGGGCACATGGAGCGGGGGGAGGGACACAGGGTTGGGGGGACACATGAGGCTGTGGGGGGGACATGGGGGCGGGGTGGAAGCACATGGGGCTGGGGGACACAGGGAGCTGGGGAGGGACATGGGAACTGGGGGGGGCACATGGGGCTTTGGGGCGGGGACGGACATGGGAGCTGAAAGGAAGCATATGGAGCTGGGGGGGGGGGACACACGGGGCTGGAGGAGCACATGGGGCTGGGGGGGGGAAGCACACACGGTTGGGGGGCACACGGGGTTGTGGGGCACGCATGGGGCTAGGGGGGTACACAGGGCGGTGGCGGGGGAGCACACAGGACTGGGGGGGCACATGGGGCTGGGGAGGACATGGGAGATAGGGGGGGCACAGGGGGGTGCAGGCTGCCCCCGGGCGAGCCCCCCGCCCTTCCCCGCGGGCGCAGCACAGCCCCGGCCCCCCCCCCCCCGGCAGTTTGGTCCCGGCGGGGCGGGCGGGCCCGGGGCGGGGCGGCAGGAAGAGGAAGGGCCGGGCCGGGCCCACAAAGGCCGCGGGGGGGGGGTCGGGGGGGGGGTGTTGGTGGGGAGCGGCCATGTCGCTGGCGACCGTGCGGGGCTGGGCACTGGCCGCGCTGGCCCTGCTGGCCCCGGGCCCGGCCGAGCGCAGCCGGCCCTACGCCGTGCTGCAGAAACAGAACCTGGGTAAGGAGCTGGTTCCGAGCGCGGCACCTTTCTGCTTGCTTTTTGTTATTTTTATATAAAGCTAATTTAGGGGGGGGGGGGGATGGCTTGGGGGGGGGGCGGGATGCGTATTTAAATCCTAACCTGTCGCCCTCCCGCAGTGCTGCTGGGCAGCATCCTCAGCGCCCTGCTGCTCACCATCATCCTCATGGCCGTCTGCGTCTACAAGCCCGTCCGGCGGCGGTAGCGGAGCGGGACGCGGCGGCGATGGGGGATGCCCCGCTGATTCGGGGACCCCCTTTCGCCCGCCCAGCAGCGCGAGGTTCCGCCGGGCCGTCGCTTCCCGCCACAGCGTGGGCCGGGTGTTGGCAATCACGCCCCCCCGCTCCTCGGCAGGATCCGCATCCTCCTCCCCAAACGCAGCGGTTCGGCGAGGCTGCTCCGACCCGATGGGCTTCCAGAGCATCCCGGGAGGGGTGTGGGGGTGCGCACCCAGAGCCTCGGGCGGGCTGCGGGGGACACAACCAGCCAGGACAACCCCTCCGACCCGCGCCCTGGAACCTCCACGCCCCCACGAGAACCCGGGCAGCTCCTGGAGAAAATCGCCGCCTGATGAGCAGCCCCACGCGCTCCCTTACCCCACGTCTAGTCTTGATTTCTGATGACTTCGGTTCCTTGAATGCCGAGTCTTGAGGGTTTGTAGCTCAGCCTTCAAAAATAGCCCGAAGGCGAAAGCTCAGCAGCCTGCTGTGGCTGTGGGGGTCTGGTGTGTGCTTTCCTCTGAGAAAAACACGAGCAGATCCTGGTGTAGCTGTTCAGGGACAGGCTTGTCCTTCCTGTTGTTATTTACTTCAACTCTTCGCTAAATAGCCACCGCCAGCCTCGCACCAAAACAGCCCCACTGAACCTGTACGAACTGGGGTGCCCAGGGGGGTTCCCGCCTTGTGCGACCGCTCCCCCTCAGTTCCCCATCCCCCTGGGAAATGGGAACCCCCCCAGAAGGCTGCGAGCCAGCCGAGCTCAGGCACTCTGGAAGCTCTGCATGTTGGAGCTCCAGCCACCCCAGTTCTCCGCATTTCCAGTAATACATTCAAGTGTTTACACTGAAACCACACTTGCGTTTGAATGCTGCTATTTTGTTTTGCACTGGAGTAGTAACTGGATTTTGCTTATTAAGTATTACTTTGGTATTTAACATAGGGGTGTTTGGGCTAGTAATTTATTTAGTGTTTTGAAACTTAACTTCCAGAACAATTGTGTTGACCTGTTCTCTAAAACCTTGTGCTGCACCTGGCCTGTTGTCTGTTCAGTTTGCTTTAAAAGACACTGAGCACTCCTTGAAAAGGGAGGTTGTGTTTGCTGCTGCTCCAGTAGTAGGAAGCTGGCCTAGAATGGATCTAGTTACTAATCTAAGGGAAACGTGAGGGAGGAAGCAAGGTACCACTGTTCTACTGCTTTCTGATCCTTTTCTGGTTTTGATCACAGTCCTGGATCACTGTTTTTTTCACAGCTGGGGTAAAGCTTGGCCTGGAGCTGTATGCTGCTCCCGGGGGGGTGGATGGGGTAGCTGGCAGCCACAGCTCCAGGTTCCCCAGAGCTGCATCCGTGTTTGTGTTCATTCTTTGCTCCCTGCTATGTCTCTCTGTACAAATAAAAAGCTAAGTAAACAATCTGGGAGTCCTTGGGCTCATTCATGGCTGGTGTTTGTTATGAACCAGGCTGTAGCTGTATGAAGGGGAGGCAGTCCCCTCTCCCACCTCTGATAATTTTCGTTTTTACCCTGTTTTCAAGGGCGAGGGAACAGGAGTGGGCCAGCAGCACGGGGTGTAGCCCCTCTTTTTGAGGCTGTTCGTTAGCAAGGGACTGGTACCGGTGAACTGAAACCTCATCCTTCGAGTGTAGTGCAGTTACTAGCAGACCTTGACAGGTAAAGTTCAGTTCACTCAGTCATAAAGACTTAGTTTGAATCAAAAGTCAGCCAAAGCAGCGTAAGAAGGATCTCCAAATTAAGCACATAATGAATTAGTGTTGTATGCTGAACCAACAGGCCAAAAGCACAAAAAGGAACATAGTCTCCCATTCAGGAACAGATACAAAACAGCACTGACACCCTGGAAACAGCGTCAGTTTGAAGAACTGTAAAAGCTAATTATAGTTTTCAAACAAGCTCCAGGTATTTGTAACTGTGAGCTGCTGCTTTCCCACATCAGCCTTGAACTTCCTTGGAAAGAGAAGTTTGACTTGGGTTTAATACAGCAGCCTCAGTATTAATATTACACACAGCATGCAAGCCTCTGCTGCCCTGCTCTGCTGAACAGAGCCTGTGCAGGAACAGCCGAGGAGCACTCGAGTGCTCCCACCGCCCTGCCCTTCACGGCCTCAGAGCAGGCTGTGCTGCACTGATCCCTCTCTCCAAAACAGGGAGACTCAAAGGTTGGCTGAAAATGGCAGTGAAATGTTTCCAGGGAGTAGGTGTCTCTTTCAGGCTAAACCAGACCTATCTTTGATAGTTTCATAGATTATAACATCACCCTTAGTGTACAAAAAGGCAGATATTTAAAAATACTTCACTTACCGTGTTAAAAAAATACTCACGGATGTAGTACAATATTGTGCAGTATCTTTGTTTTTCATTCTAGCACATAGAGGCTCAGAGGATACTTTTCACCCACAGTGTAAAATGTAAGCTAGGGTTTAAGAAAAGCAGCACCTGTTTCAGGGATGGAATGATGCAAACATGACAGAAAGCAATAAAAAAAAAACCCAAACCAAACCAAAACACCCACATTTTTTACAGCACTAGGCAGAAGCAGGAGCATAACAAAACTTGAACTGAAACTGTTCAAAAATCTTTAGTTTACAACATAAAAAACAGAGAACAAGTCAGCTTGAAAAAAGATATTCCCACCCCTCACAACCTTTGAAATGCTTAGTAGAAAAAAAAAAAACAAAAGCAATGTGAGCCACATGGGTTTATAAAGGCAACAGCACTCTTTATTTCCGCTGGAGGAAAAAAACACAGCTTCATCTCCCACTCCACAACTTTGTCAAGAGCTCAATGCAAGGCTTATTCCCTTTTTTTTTTTCAACTGTGAAAGTCACAGTAATCCCCTTTTCAAAGAAAGATGCAATTCCAACATACACCACTGCCACTGCGCAAGAAGGTCAACATTCCTGCAAACACCAAAGAAGCTATTTAGGGATGCAAGCTGTATTATTAAACAAAAATGGTGCAAATATACCAGCTTAGTGTACACTGCAGGAATTTTAAATCATTTGCTATGTAAAACAATGGATTATTAGTTTAAAATAGGGTTCCAAGTCACCAACCACCTGACTGGTTACAATCCCATCCATTTTATAGTGATCTGATATTGGTTAATAGTTGGTCACACAGAACCGCTGTGTTTTGCCCAAGGAACAAGTGCAGGATTAGGTAGCAAGATCAGACCATTTGTACCATAGGTTCTTCACCCTTCTGCCAGCCAGAACAGAGGAATATTGCTCACATTTAACTACTATAAGGCTTTCTTGTGGATGTACGTTGTGTACTCGTGGAGTGCACTTGAGAGTCACAGTGTAAGTACTGTAAACACTGACAGAAGTGCAGATAAAACAGCTACAAATATATTTGTATGACGAAAGACCTGAGGAAAGCTGGTTAAAACATACTTGCAAATTGTTACAATACCATTTTTATGAGTGTAGTCATATTGGCCTGTTTTAAAATCAATAAAAATATTCAGATAAAAAAATATATGTATTCACATGAAGGATGAGCATTTGAATTTTAAAAAGCAACACGCGTCTCCCTTTCAGATGACAGAATTAAAACCTATCTTCCAATAAGTATACATTAAAATTTCACCTGAATTTTTTTTCTATTTGAAATCAGCACCCACACACAGGCACGCACTCATGCACACGCACCAAGTGATCGCAAAGAAGCACCTGTACCTATCGCTAATTTTCTTGCTGCCCTCTGACTATTGGGAACTAGCTGGTTTTGAATCACTGCAGAAACTGCTACTTTACTACACAGATGGTCCCATTTTAGGATCTAAAATTTTACTGGCTACTTGTTTTGTTCTTTTTCAGAAAGCACTAGTTTAATCTTGAGCTTGGATTAGCTTTTCAAGTATGAAATTATCCCTCTTAAGCAGGAGCACATGATAAAAATCTCAGTAACTAGAGAAGAAATAATCATGTATAAACAAAACTAACAGAAAACATCTGTCAGCATGGTACACTGTCAGCATGAAGAACTACCCTATGTGTGTATACGCATATAGATACTCTTCCATGTAACAACTGGAAGAAACAGACAATGGCTTTGAGTTATTCAGAAATGACTAAACAAATGAGTATTTCTTTGGTAAGTAATGAAGTTTCCCTCCCAAACTCCCCATAAAGCTGGTTTTCAAGCTTTGCTGCAGTCCTATATCCTGACACTAAGCAAGATTTCCATCTGCTCTTCAATAAATACGTTTAGAGTAAAACTTTCCCTTCGAAGATAAGACTGCAAGGTTGGGGAGCCAAATGCAGAGTCCCGTGATCCGAAACTCCCTCAAACAAAAATAAATCAGCTTTTTGTAGCCGATGATGCAAACTTAGAAGGCAGGTGAAATGTTTACTTAAGCAATCCAGGAGTGATCTTCAGACTGATAGCTCTGGAAGCCTTCCATTTTATGCAGATTTGGTTATCCCTATTTCAGATCGCTATGGAGTTATTTTTCCACAAGAGAAAGCTGTAAAACTTGTTGAAGCTCTGCATCTTCCTCTTCACGGCGTTGCTTCTCCCGTTCCTCCTGCTCTCGGACAGACAACTCCATGGCAAGCTGCAAGTCTTTTTCAAAACTGGAAGGTTCACTAGGGGTGCTGCAGTGTGAGTTACCTGAGCTTGTTAGATAGCTCTCCTGCAGTGCCCTGAGGGAGAAAAAGAACTTTAAGAAGCAAGAGAGACAGAGCCCATTTCACATGTCCTGCAATGATCCTTCCTAGCAACTGTTTTCTAACTGCAAACCTGAAAATCTCTCCCCAGAGGGCAGAAAGGAGTTTTCAGGATAAGACAGCAGTTGTTCTAACATCTGTAAAATTCCCAATGTAAAATCTGCTCTTTGAAGCTTCCTCAGAATCTTTCATGCATACTAACAGTTAATTTCTCAATGGGCTTCTAAAAGCATTCTCACCTAGTTTAAAGGTAACATGATTTCCATGTACAAAAGAACCAAGAGGATGCAGTTCTTTGTGTACACACAGGTTTCTCTGCTCTTAACTGCGGGAAAACCCCACAGATACCAGAGCATGTTCCTAAGGGTCCATTAAATATATGTTGCTACCTTTAAGGGCTACATAAATGATTTTGAAAAGAAAGAAGAGACACCTTGAAGCATGCAGCGTCTAATAAATAAACATTCAACCCAGAGGGACCAAATTCACAGTTTTAAGAGCAGAACAGGAGGACTCTGCTTATTTTTTGGGTAAAGAATCTGGTATGTGCACAGACCAGTCCCACAGCAGAGCTAAAGCCCTGTACTACATAAGCCAGGAAGGCCCGGTTTGGAGTCCTTGTTTCTTGGAAAAGTAAAAGTTAGAAAAAGCACAAGAAGAGAGACCTTGAGTTCCGTGCATCTACTATTTACATACACAAAAAATTGCAGAATTGCTTCACGCTACTGTTTGAAGTATTTTTGCTTTGTCACTACATAGTTTGAAGTGAAAAAAATTAGTTACCTCTGATATTGTATATTGAAGTCCTGTGAATATGCAACTGCTCCATTGGAATGCACCCCCACTTCCTAGAAATGGGGAGAGACAGACAATTCCACAGCAGTTAACAAATCTGCAGTGCAATTCACTGAAAAGTAACTCTTAAATCACTCCTATTTCTTCTTTGAAATACATTACTATATTTTTCTCTTCTGAGGTCCTTAGAAAAACAGGTCCTACATTGGTTTAATTCAGAGATGCAGCTATTGCTCCGTAGTCCTTGTCAAAACTGTCAGACCTGCACTGCACTGCACAGGTGACAGCACACTCACTTTATTTCCACCGGACTCCAGCAAGCTCTGCTGAATAGCAAACTGCATGATCTCGTTATCTTCATCCTGCACGTGGATGTTCCTGCCGTCATCTTGGACGTGGTAAGATTTGGGGATCTCAAACACTGACTGGTCGACCTCGAAATTAGCACCTACAGAAGCCAAACATAGTTACAAACAAGATACAGTATATTTTTACAAGTTGTGACTTAATAAATTCCAATGAATGCTTATACATGATTAAGTTAACTCCAAAAATTCAGCTAAAGCACCTGGCTAAATATACCAACAGGCTTTGAAAGACTTCTGTGGCAAACAAGCACAGCAGTAAGACAAAACGCAGAGTCTTTCTTTAGGATGCTGGAAAGCGGCACAAATAAAACCAGCGTGCAGCAGACCACTATAGTGGCTGAACTCTGACAAAACCAGATGGGGGAAAAAAAAAAAAAAATAGGTCGCAAAAAATAAATACTGCAGCAGCTCTTTTGAGGCTATTCCTAATGAATGAGTCTGCAAGCTCATAGGGTCTGCAGCTCACAGGACAGAGTATCACTGGATATGTGCGGTCATGAGCACCCCACTCAAGCGTAATGCGCCCTTTTCTGAAAGAGCAGGCAGACTTAGCTGTC